GCCTGGCCATTTTTTGGTTGCAGCCATCATTGTTGTTTGGCGGGCCCGGACTGGAGATTCGAACCCGCCACCTTAGGTGTATGTGGCTGGCGCCTTAGCCGCTAGAGCCACAGGCGCCGAGCCTGCCTGTTCAATTCTTACAGACCAGTTAGTGCAAGTGGAAAACAAAGCAGTTGTGTCATTTTTACACACATCACAAAAATAAGAAAGGTACCCTAGTGGCTTTAGAAGGCCAATACATGGCAGCCCACTTTACCAATAAAGGAGGTAGACTAATGTCAAAGGCATGGTCAGTCACCCCAGACCAGTGGTTCTCAACCTTCCTAATGCCGTGGCCCTTTAATAAAGTTCCTGTGGGTTGCGACTCACAGATAGAGAACCGCTGGTTTAGACTGTGAGAGCTGTGAGAAAAGTTGAAGGGCATAACAGCCAACAATCACTTGGATGCACAACTCATTGAAAATTCAGTGAGTTCAACTCTCAAAGAGATGTGAAGCTCTTCCACTTAGACGTAGGGATAAAAGCGGGTAGGATTAATATGTGTATGATATTCAAAATTGCTAATAAGATATCAATTATACCTAGGTGCTTATTTCTTTTAAAAATCTACAGTAACAAAAACAACTGTTATTATGATTTTCCATTTTTTGTGATTATTGGATTAGCATGCTTCCCCCACTTGACTCTTAGCTATGCAACTCTATTTGTGCTCCATTGTATCCCTAGTATACCTAGCACATAGTAGGTACGCTATGGGCTTGGTGAATGAATGGTTTGATTACATATAATCTTTTTTTTCAAGTGACATCTTATTTACACAAATATGGGAAAGTCTCAGAAGTGACAGTAAGTCTCAGCGCCAAGACAATGGGAATCAAGGCACACCACCAACTGATGGATCCCTCTATTTTATATTCAAACTAGCTGAGGAAGGGGAAGAAAGCAACTCTTGAATAGTGAAACTGAAAAATTTAGGCTATAAGGAGGTAGTAATTTCCATGTTATGCTTCTACCCTTTATACCATTGTATTAACCTTGGGTGACTGGGTTATTTCTTTTTCTCCCCTGTATGAATGATGAAAAGCCAAACACAAACATTTTCTCTTTTTTTTTGGAGACAGAGCCTCAAGCTGTCACCCTGGGTAGAGTGCCGTGGCATCACAGCTCACAGCAACCTCTAACTCCTGGGCTCAAGTGATTCTGCTGCCTCCACTTCCCAAGTAACTAGGATTACAGGCGCCCACCACAACACCCGGCTGTTTTTTGGTTGCAGCCGTCATTGTTGTTTGGTGGCCCGGGCTGGATTCGAACCCACCAGCTGAGGTGTATGTGGCTGGCACCTTAGCCACTTGAGCCACAGGCACCGAGCCCACAGACATTCTCTTAAAACTACTAGGACTTTGCTGAGAGATCCGTAATAATCTAACATTCACAAAGAATTATTTCGGGGAACTTTTTTTTTTTTT